ATGAACAGCCGAGAACGACTAGTTTAAAAATAATACCCTGCCAAGCTTTGGGTGTCAAAACTTGAGCTCAATCGGTGTAGAACAGTTAAGTTTTTGAAACGTATATATATATATATTTATGAAAGTTGCATCGAGAGTATTTATAATCTGATCGGTTTTGAATAAGATGTGTACAACTGACAGGCTGTCACTTGAAGATAATCATCTTTATCTGTCAGTACATTCGCGTTTCACATTAGACAAGAAATGTCACATCATCAGGCGCTCACAAGGTACCATCGTAAAAGTACTATTTTCCCAATGTTACAAGGAAAAAAAAAAATTCGAATTACTTAATGGTCAGCAATTAGAATGTATAAATGTTGACCTAAGATATTATCTTTTATACATTCACATGTAACACATGAAAAACAATAAAGGATGGGTTAGGTTTTTAAGACTAAGTTCTTAAATACTCACGGCACGGCTATAGGTTTTTTTTTAATTTTCATTTGTGATTTTTTCTGCTATTTGGGCTAGGTTGCCATACGAACATCTATGGCAATCGTTACGGGTAGTTGAAGCGCTAAAAGGTTCGACAACCGTCTATGTATCTACAGAACTTTGATATCCTTGATAGACTTTGATACTGGTACTTGGGTTGTGGAGATCTGATGGCAGTCGCTACACGGAGAAAAAGTTTAGCCGAGTTGTAGGTACTCTACCCTGTCGCAGGAGGAAGTTCGCCGCCTCTACTGTGCGGTGATACGATCCATGGCCCTCTACGGAGCGCCGATATGAGCAAAGCGCTAATCCTCCTCCTCCCGCTGCCGAGCTAAGCTCAATCAAGCGCAGCGGATAGCGGCCATTCGGATCGTACGGGGATACCGCACCATATCGTCGGAGGCGGCGACAGTCCTGGCACGTTTCCCGCCTTTTGATATCCTGGCGGATATGGACGCTAGGGTTTACGACCAGACTCGCGCGAACCGCCTGGATGAGAGCGGGAACGACCAGACGAGCTTGAAATGCGGAACGCTCACCGACAGGCACTGGCGCAGTGGCGCGCGCGGTTGGAACAGCCGCGGGAATGCGCGCCAACGTGCTGTCGGTGCCGTTTTGCCTAACCTCGAAGTTTGGGTAGGTAGGGAGGGAGGTCGCGTCACCTACCGACTGACCGAGGTGCTCACTGGGCATGGCTGCTTCGGTGAGTACCTGAATCGGATTGGACGCGAGGAGACGGCACAATGCCAGCACTGCGCGGCCGACTGGGACTCCGTCCAGCACACGCTGGAAGACCGCCCCGCGTGGGCATCTGAACGCCAAGTCCTGGTCGATGAAATCGGACGAGACTTGTCCCCGCCAGCAATCATTACTGCCATGCTGGCGGGTGAAGAGGGCTGGGGCGCAGTGGTCTCTTTCTGTGAAGCTGTAATGCTCCAGAAAGAGACTGCTGAACGGGATCGGGAGAGGGCCGATCCCGAGCGAAGAAGACGTCGACGACGTAATGAGCAGCCGACGGGACCGCGGGCCGCCAGAGAGTGCGGACCTCTGGTGGCAGATTGATTGCTACGGTGGGGGAAAGGAAGGCAGCCTGATCGCACTGAAAATGTGATCGGGATGCAACATCTGGATAGGCTGAGAGGCAGGGAGAAGCCACTGGCTTTCCCTGAGATGGGACCTGGTTGGGTGCGGCGTCGATCTGGGGGACCTGAAATCACATGGCCCGGAGAGGTTAGAGTGCTCTTAGTTGCAACAGCGCTTTCTATAAGACAACCCATCTATCTTTTTTATCTTTATATATTTTTATATTTTTTATCGATATATATCTTTCATTTTATTTCATGATTTATTTTCTTTTATATACAAAAAATCTTAATACATTTTTCCATAGCCTTCACAGGGTTTATTGCTCAGTTTAGTAGAACCACTCCTTTAAAAATCCTAATTGGTGTTAGAGAAACGCGTGTGATAAGTATTACGCCACATGTTAGTGATTAAACTTAATTCTCACGTCCACCACAGACAGTTTCACTTAATTTATAAACTGCTCCGTTAATACAAATAGTATTAGAAATATGTTTTGATGAACCGATTGTAAATAACGTCTGATGCAAATTTTATAGCCTGTAATTTCTTCATGTTTGATGTGCTAACTGTTAATCTCGATATGATTATAAGTCACTATGCTGTCTATGATTGAATCTCTATCTTATAAAAATATTTAAGTAGCATTTGCATATATATTTTGCACATGGTTCGCAGCTGAAGTGTGTTTCTTTTATTTTACACTTGAAAAACGAGATTTCAAATCTTGCTTTTTGTATGTTTGTGCTGTGCAAGAAAATTTCCTATCCGAAATCAAATACTTGCACTAATCTGATTCCTCGTCTACCTAAGCAAATAATTATTACACAGTTTTATAGCCACGATATATCACACAGCTTTGTTAGGAATGTAGCCCAATGGTCAGACAAAATGGATTATGTAACTAATATGAAAGAATTTCAACTCTAAACTTATCATATCTTAGCTAATTTTCTTTATTGGAGTGTTGTGGACTCTCGACAGAAATGTATTATATATGCCTATTCAGAGAGAGAGTCTATGGGTGGCAGACTAGTCTGCTCGTTTGCCCCTATGTCATAAAAAACTAGATAAACTGAGAAAAGATAAAAAAAGAATGACTAAAAGACTGACTAAATTACTGACATTTGATTTGCGCTTCGCACAAAGAGAATTTATTAAAAATAGTACCACAAAAGAAATGAACTTGAATATGTAAATATCTGTATTAAGTAACAGTCCAACAATGGTATTCTATTACCTTATAAACATTTATAGATATTGTCTTAACAAATTCAATTGTAACCAGTCATCATTATGCAAAGCACTTTAAATATATATTTGTGAAATGATAGAAAGTAACACCAGTAATACCCTCGTTTTGTGATGAGTAACAGATAAGAGTCATAACGAAAGGAAAATTAATATAACCTGTGGCCAACATTTTATGCTCAGTTGATTTCAATAGTATGATTCATGCGTGGTTTTTATACTTCTTTAATATAGTGAGAGGTTCACAACATTGTGCAGGTATTATATTAATAATATCAGTAATTCATAACATTTATTATTATTATTTTTTATTTATTTAACTTTATGCACTTTTGTACATCGGCAGACTTAATGCCCAGAGCATTCTCTTCCAGTCAACCTTTGGGTGGTGTAGAAATCTTGTAAGGTAGGTGCACAGAGGTTACGTCTTAATATATTAAGTAATCAATGAAAATATATGTAACGGTTCGTTGCATACACAAACTTGGACTTCCTGACTTCGAGCGGGAGCGCATTCCCAGGTAGTACTTACTACTTGAACAAAGATCGAAGAGCTCACGAAGTTGGAGTTATGTGAGGGACATAAAAGAAGCAGATGGTTAGTGGATAGGTTACGGAAGTAGGGAGCAAGGTAAGTAGGTGAGGATGGTGAGTTGAGAAATGAAAATATAGAGGTAAGTGCACCCTTTTTGCAGCGCGTATTATGTTATTCATGATTGAATATCGTAAGAATGATATGCTGAATTAGTTTTGTATTTCAAACTCAACTGATGAACGTTGGTGTTCAAATGTCAAAGGATGTCGGGGTAGCGTGTTAAGCCACAGTTAAACAATAGTTACTTAAACTGGCTTAAACAATAAATACGATCTTCTAAAAGACAATACTAAAGCATCACTTTTTTAGTTTTCACACTAATTGGACACTATTCACTAAGAGGTTTTTTTAACGATTGCGAAATCCAATATTGTGGATACCATGTTAATGAACAATTTCAACATGTTTTGTCTTTAATTTCAACATTTTTTTGCAGCTGTTGTGAAAATAAACATTAACAAACCTATACGACAGGTAGAAGCTTTTAAAAAACTCAATTAAATGAACCACACAACTAAAGGATAACAAGATATATAGATTCATATAGATAACAAGCCGAATAAATTGATAACTTAACTTACTTAATAATAATTAAGAGATTAAAGAGAGGCTAACGGCTTTTTGCACAAGTAAAAAACGTTATCTTATATATAAAATTCTCGTGCCACAATGTTCGTTCCCGTACTCCTCCGAAACGGCTTGACCGATTCTCATGAAATTTTGTGTGCACATTTTGGTAGGTCTGAGAATCGGCCAACATCCATTTTTCATACCCCTAAATGGTAAGGGTGACCCATCCCAAATTTTTTTTTGTTTTGCAATACAACGTTTGCCGGGTCAGCTAGTTAAATATAAAATATTATAGAAGCATTAGATGTAAGAAGTCGCCCGGCTCATTAAAAAAAAACCCTTGTTTATTTTCTATAATTTTCATATCTTCTAAATTAAGTTATAAGTCAGGTCTAGGTTTTCAAAATAGTATACTCGTACCTACTGGCGTAATCTTTTAATAACCTTCATTAGATTGTGATCAAAATAGACGGATATAAAAATTTATTTGACTGACTGACTGGCTGACTTTTGTTACTTTTTTCTATTGAGGTCTAATGTTAAACTGTTATATTTAATACACATATCTGCGTGTTTTTGTTTTCTCATGAATGTCTGAGCCCAGTAACAAAAAAAAACTGCATATGCTTATTATTCCGAAAATATAGTAAATTGAAAAAGATTATTAGAATAGTAATAAAAATCATAATTGTAGATATACAACATTTATTAAGTAACAAATATAAAACTATTACAACAAAATAAACTTCACAACATATTTTTATATTATATATCAACTAGTTCACAAGTCTGAAACTCCGCTGTGAATAAATATCTCTGGCAAAATATACATGCAATAGCAGTCTACTTAATGAGTTTTATTATAAATTAATTTATTGCTAAAAAGACTATTTAAGGATTATCTGAAACAGAGAAAGACAGACAGAAAAAAGAGTTCCATAACTCATAGTTATTGACATTTCTCTCCTCTATTTTACGTTTGTGCCGGTATTAGACGATATTCCACTTATACTTTGGATTAAGAATTACGACTAGCCGAGTATGCGTTTTTATAACTGGAACTGGAATCGGAGGTTAAAGTATATTCATTATTATGAGTAATATCGTTGTCTTCCCTTGGAATGTTTTGCCCAACAGGTCCTTGTAACTTTTCATATTCAGCAGAAGATCCTTGTGGAACGTACTGGACGTTATACTTGCTTTGAGTGTTTGAAGGATAATAGTTATAGAAACTTTGAACGGGATTAGGATATACGAGATTATTGTAAAGTTGATTCAAATTAGGCTGTGCAAATAACAGCATAGCAGATGGCTGTCCTAAATACGAGCCGCCTAGAGGCACCTGGTGGTAATTTGGAGCAACATTGAACTGTCCCTGGGGTTGCGGAATATTATAACCTTGGTGAGAATTTACTTGAGAAGGATTTGACGAAAATAACTGCGGGGAATAAGGCACAACTTGCTGAACTGGATAATTACCCGGCTGTTGGTAAATAGCCAGTTGAATATTCCCGTTTGATTTGGAAGGAATTATCTGATACTTAGCTTGATACCCAGGGTTTGGTACAAAGTTTAGCGGTGCGAATTGCGATGTAGTAGATGGTGGTGATAAATTTAATTGCGGTTGCTGTTGTTGTGAATAGGACGGCGTATCAAACTGCGTATTTGGTGACGAATAATACTGGTTAGCCGTTTGACTTGGGTAGAACGAGCTCGGAGCTTGGGGCTGATATGATGAACTTGATGAACTCTGCGAACTAGGATTAGACGAGTAAATACTATAGGTGTAGTCTTGTTTTTGGGCTCCTGATGTTAAGGAATTCAAACTAGTGCCTTTACCAACGCCTCTCTTCTTTTGTTCACTATCTTCAACTTCCGTGCAACATACTATCGCAGAGAAAGCAACGAAAATCTGTAATTAAAAACAAATCAAATAATCTATCTTAGTCCAAGTCAAAACCTACAAAAATCAATCAATCGCTTACGTATAATTACATGAAAACTTTAAATACTTTATGTTTCAACAAGTTATAAATCACCGACAAAAACAGATGTGCAATAGACGCTACAATTGCACGTGTGTTGTCTCATTATACAAATACAATACTCACCAAAAACTCCCATTTCGCCATTTTGTACAATGTTAATTACACGCAACAGTTGAAAATATATATAATTACATTATTTATTAATGAAAAACGCGTATTGCGAAAGGAAATGTGTTGTGTATGCACTGGTTCCTAAGGAAAAGTGTAAGACGATTTCAAGTTTAAGTATTTATATGAGCGGTCGTGGACAACTTTCCTCCGGCTCCAGATCATTGCTGAGGGAAGTGACCGCTCGATAGGTCTTTGTCCTGTGCCGGCACTTATCCAGTTTGCGCCGATGCCGTCTAGTTTCCTATAGCGCAGTGCGCAGCGAACCGGAAACTTGTTGATCTCATATTTTCCTTTAAAATGTGTAAAAGTAACATATGTGTGTATAAGGTGAAACTACATCTATTCAAGTTTTTGTGATAAATATTTCAAATAACTACAGGGTGTGTATTTTTTTTTTCATTTGTGACTAATACCTTCTTAGTCCAGTTTTAGGCTATGTCAAGATTCGTGTATCAAAGCACATAACAATCATCTAGTGATTGTTATTTTGCTTACAATATCAGAGCTTTTTGCGATCTTAATCTGTAATTGTTGATTGTTATCTCAATGCATATTATATAAAAGCAATGCTGTAACCAAAGATGAAATTAACAAGGAACCGTTGTTGTCGTTTTTTATTCTATTCACTAATCTCTAATAATACTTTACCCGCAGCTTGTATTGACTTCAGCCCTGCCCGGTCAGAACTGCTAAACTTTATACAACCAGGCCCAATTTAATTTATTAGCCTAACAAAACATATTCACAAAAAAATATTAATTTGTGTGCAGCACTGTGTGCGTACTTTTTTATATAAAGAAATATTGTTATCGATTTGTTGTTCAACTTCGTGAAGTTTCATAAACATGTTCTTATAGATAATTCACCTTCACTATTCACCTTCACTATTTTCTGGATACTTTTACAAAAACAGGGTTACAAAAATATATGCGTCAAATAGTAAACATCCCTTAGAATAAGCAGAACCATAAAATTAGGATGATGATTGAAAATAGAATAACCGAAAAATCTTAACCAGTCATTACATAAGCTTTATAAAAAAGCCAGAAGTGGCTTTTCTAATTTAGTACGTAACAACTTTGTTATACCTTCGTACCTCAAACTACTTGTGGTACTCCTAATTGTGGTATACAGGTGGCAACTAATGAACTCATTACAACCACAGCTTTCAACATAACTTACGTAAGGCCTAACATGGTTAGGTTCTACGAGAGATAGTGATGTAGTCGGAATGCGTGGTGCTATGACATGTCCGTTTCACTTAAGCTTGTATTAAATAGACTAGACTTCGACTAGTAAAGTTTTAAGTTAGTAGATACTCACTTGTACTTATCTGTAGATCATAACAGAAGATATCATGTGAGTTCATTCGGATCATATCAATCACGAATACCAAGCAGAAAGTAACGCATGTTTCTAACATTAGTTTTATTAAATTTAAAATAAACATCTGTTAAAATGAAACTGTTATACTAATGGTCCCTTTTTAGCCCAACAATATTTTAAGTGAGCTACTGCAATAATTGCACTAGATTACACACCACAATGTTCTTATAATGACTTCATAGGGAAAGTATCATCATAGACCTTGAAGAATAATAGCAGAGTACATTTACAATGCTGTGTAAATATAGTTATTAACACGGTCTATTGCAGAACTATAAAAATTAGAGTACCTACTCGTATTGCATACGCTGTTAATTGAACAGACAAAAGAATGGAATGTTCGTATACCTGCAGCAATTAACAACCATTTTTATGTATTAGTTAAAACAAGATGGACCTCGAAATCTTCTGAAAGATTTGATAATTTAAAAAATATCATCAAATAAATAATTTAAAAAAAACTCTAGTTTTTAGTTTTTCTTTTAAGCTCTTATAGCTATGGCGTAACATAATCAGTGATTCACGACACAAGGCCAATTTGGAATTAGGCATAAATCATGATAAATTTTAGGCGGTATTCTTCATCCGTGTGGTAAGGGATTAAGAATACAGAGTATCACCACCCCTATTCATCCCGTGGGTGTCGTAAGAGGCGACTAAGGGAGTAAACTACGCAGGACAACAGCACTGCAAAGAGAAGGAAAACTTGAAACAAACCCTATACCAACCCGTCTGACCAGCGTGGTATGGTAGGCCAAAACCTGCTTTCTAAGGAGGGGCCTATGTCCAGTGCAGTGGACTAGCAAAGGCTGTTGATGATGATGCAGATGATGATTCTTCATCCCTTTAAAGTCTAATTAAATTTAGTCTAATTAAAAGTATATTTTAGTCTAATTAAAATAAGAAACTTTAATACAAACATTTATTTATAGAAATCGGTGCCGAATGGCGAAGACATTGTCAAACAAAATTCTCATATTTTCATCGACGTTTCATCTGAGTAAAAATGGACTCGTTTAGAAGTTTCTGTTTAATACTTTACTATATTACTACGAAAAAACCTTGTATGACAGTTGGGAGATCGAGAGTTGATCGGAACTGAATTTTGACCGAACCTTTATTACGAGAATTGGCCTTCAGATGCTCTTTATTGTTGGTGAATCATTTGGGTTAGATGAAGAGATGAGGGAAACAGTATGTTGTTTCTTTTAACTGATTTAACCGGTTCAAAGTAATTTTGACCGGTTAGGAGTTCTGACTGCAACATATATTACTTTCATAATTTTATCTGTCCTGCTGTCTATATTTTAGTCAGAGCGATTACAATTTCTTTTAACTGTAATCGGTCAATAACAGAGGTACTGCCAATAATGTTGATCGAATGAAGATATTTCTGGTTTGTTAATGATACAACATCAATATGTACAGTCTGACCTCTGCTCGCTAATTAATCGATCCCAGCGTTTACCTATTGATATCTACTATTAAACCAGTTTTAGCCGATTCAGGATTCTGAATACTACGCTGCTATTCCTTGTAATAACGTATGAGCGAATCGTGTTCTGCGAAGGTTGCAGAGGTCAAGATGTAAGCAACCGCTGAATTCTTTATCATATGTGTAACTGTAGGTTTCTCTGTATAGATAGACTCGTATGATAAAAGTTTCAAGGCACACGAAGATTTGAAGTATACTTACGTACTATAGCCCACTTTGACCTTGATTAACTTGCACTGTTATAGTTACAATAAAGTTATAATATTGTGTATGATAAAACAAGCAATTAGATAAGTGTAAGACTTTTTTTTAAAGGCGGGAATTGGCTGAACTAGGAATTTATGCTGTGTCGCGGAGGACTTTACAAACATTCATGAAACGAACACAAAGACAACCCAGACTTAGATATACCATTTGTTGATCACACAAAGTGTTGTCCCATGTTGGAATCGAACCCACAACACTTAGAGCAGTTGAAAGTGGCGAGTTAACCGCTTAAACCACTACGCCATCCGTGCACTCGTTAGTCAAGACTTAAAAGTAAAGACCCCACTATTCAAGTTGTGTGTAAGCTTACCTTTTCGTGAGTGTTTCAAGACACATGTTTGGATCTATTTCATCTCTTCTTGTGTACCGCAACATATTATTATATTGTATTGAGTATTATTCACAAAATATGATAGCGATATCCACCAGGTTCTGGATACTTTTAAATAGCTGTAGATTGATTTTAACGCCATCTATGATCTGTATGACAAAGTCGTGATATACTTTTTTCGCCATTCACTTTAATAGTAAAACAAATAACGCTGCCAAGTACTAATAAGTACAACATGGTTCTTAACTCAAAAAATACTTTCCATTATGCACAGATGGTGTTGCTCGGCGTAGAAACTTTTGTTTAAATTTGAATGATCTTAACAAAAATAAATAAAACGAACTCGAGTAAGAGAGACCGGGGCCCCAATTCTGTTATTTACATTATATCAATTGCCTGTCGATGGACTGTCGTCGGAATAGTTTTGCACTTTTCGTATTTTACTAACTATGTAAGACCAATAACTATGGAAGATAATAGTCTCCCGATGACTTTTCACTGAACTGCCACTGATAAATGTCGTGTGTGTATGAGTGTGTAGGTCTTTTTAATAGTTTGGTAAAAGGTACATTTTTAATTTGGATGGAAATTAAAATTTAATTTACCATATCTGGTATGGCAATATTGTTATTATATTAATAAGCCTTTGTCACTACATCGGCAGTCTAATACCGATATTTTGACCGATGTCAAAGGCATCTCTATGGCATCACAATAGCGTGTCATTGGAATGACAGTACGTTAACATAGAATAGCAAAATTGAGGCCCACATTCGGAAAATGATTTTCAATTCACTAAATTCGCACTATTTTACTATTTCTATTTGAGTTTCTTTTAAATAACTTTTGGGTATTCACTGATCAAGTACACCTACCATAAAGTTCTCAATAAAAGTTGAGTCAGATAGTGAGCCTATCAGTTAATTTATTGTGTCATTCTAAAATAAATTATAAACTAGACAAATTATAATAGGGGTTAAAGTATGAAATTGCCGTTATATATATACTTTGAATTGACATAAAACTTTCATGGTTTGAGATTTTCATGCGAAACTCACATGAAACTTATGAGGTTCTTCTTTTGAAAAATGTGCGACATTCAATTTACGACTTTCACTTGTTTTTTTTATTCAGCTTAGACGTGAAAGATGGATACTTCGAAAATCCGAGTCATTTTTTAATACTAGTTCCGACGCGAAAACAATGCGGCAGACACGGCTCGCAATATCAAAGCCGCGTTGCGTTTGGAGAGGAGACTGCTAATGAACGCACCGTGAGTTTTTGGTTTAAACGCTTTCGTAATGGAAACTACGACTTGAAGAACGAACCACGTGGAAGACCTCCCACAGGCAAATAATGCTGAATTGAAGGAGTTGGTGGAAGCCGATCCGAGTCAAACTACCCATGAATTAGCGGCATGGTTTAATGTTACCCAACCTACAATATTGACTCATTTGCATCAAATCAACAAAAAGAAACTTGTGTTGCCTTATT